GTTGGAACCGAAAGTAGTTAATTCAACCTTCGGTCCAACAGAGAGATTTAAAGGAAAAAAATAAAAAAAAAAAAACGTACCTTGATATCATTATTAGAATCCATTTCAGGTTCCTCTTCCGTATTCACAATTAAGGAATCGGTGAGCACATGCATATCTGTTGAATAACCCATATTTTCAGCAGGCCATCCTGACACTGATATCCGTGGTACTTCTGTATCTGTTGCCCCTTCAATATATGTCACTTATACCTTACCACTTTTCTTCATGTGACAGAATTTATAGAAGAGAAAGATTAGTTTCATCTAGTAAAATTCTCTCTTTTAGTTGACAATTTCATGGCAAACATTTATTATGAAATTATTTAACGGTCAAAGTTAGTTCAAACATCACCGATATCAAAGATAAAAAGTGACAGCTAACTGATAGCACTGTAAATGTTATCATATTTCAAGTAATAGCATTTGTGAATAATTAAGAATAACTTACCAGTTTCATCCAATGGTACCGTCTTGTAGAAACTTTTTACCGGTGAATAATGAATTCGTTGTCGTTGTTCGTCTATATCTGTTGGTGATAACCAACTTAAAATATTTATTGTAGTATTTTCAGTTGAAACTGATATATTCAAACACTGATAAGTAGTGAAATGATCCAATTAACAGGATTCCAATATTCATACAGAATTTCCTGACGTACAAATAATACTATGATAGATTTATACAAATCCGGAAGATCAGCATCTTCATATTACCTATTTTTATAGAACCGAAAGCTATAAAATATGTTCACTAAGATATGATCATCATTTTCCAGAAAATGATATCAGTTACAGGATCATGAATTAATACTATCAATCCGGAAAAAAAGGATAAGAAATGTAACTGTCTTGTATGGATAAACTTTTGAATCGATGATAATTTGACAGTTCTAATAATAAACACTATCACATTAATTTAAGTTTTTAATGGCAAATGAATGAATGGAATCTTCCCATAAAAATAATTACTTTAAATCAATAAACTAACGTTAAATGAGAATTCATTTCTTGCAAATTATTCATATTATCATTCCAGGAATTCTCATCATCGGAATGATGATGCGTTATTGTACAACTATCATTGGTTATTGTAGTACTAATTGCAGTTGTAGTAGTAGTTATTGTTGTTGTTGAACATGTTGATTCATCCAATTTCATTTCTTCGTCATTTTTCCATAAATTTTTTCCCTGAATTTAATAATAAAGTCTTTTTACTTTCAATCAATAATTTTCATTAATTATTTAATAATAATTGCATTCATTCATTCATTCGATCAGTTCATTTCCTTTTACGAGTACCATTCATTCATTCACTAATAATACTATCCATTTATTTTACTAAATAATACCATATTCATTAATTAATATTTAATATTAATAACAACAATTAATGAATTTAATGCTATAAAGGAAGTTCAACATTTCATGGAATTCGTTTTGTTTTCCGTATTATATCATTTCCGGAATATTTATCGTAATGATACAAACTCAGTTTGTGGCATTGTCTTGCAATCAATGCTTTCGTATTCCTCTTCAGCGAATGGTATAATATCGTCGTTATTTCCTATTCCTAATTCATCCCTTTCTTCATATTCCTTCCGTTTCTTATTACTATTCTGAAGCCGTCGTCGTTTCACCTGTGGTTCTTGTAATTCCGGATCACTTTCTGATTCTTCATCACTCTGCAAAATATAATTATCATTGTTAAAAAATAAAATATTCCATATCATCCCCTCTCTCTCTTTCTCTCTCTCTCTTCCTCTCTCTCAGGAAATCTCTATCATGTTATCATATTTTATTCACTCTTAAATTCATTTATCCATACTTTTTTAATTGTTATCAATTTCATTCTTCTCATTCTCATCCTTCATTCTTTTCACATCTTAAACTCCCCTGCTATTTACCAATGAAAATCAGCAACATATCATAAATACCCGAAGATCAGCACTTGATAAAAGAAACATTTGAAGTATATAAGTAAAACTTATCAATGAACAACAGTGATGAAGTTGTTATTATCGTAGAGAGATGTCATAAAATGACAAGATCAACTAAGTGAACAGGTGAAAGTGATATGATGACTTATTCCTATCCTTTTAGTATTATTTCCAAGAGTTTA